TTTGATTTCTTGGATGTACCGCCTCCATATAATTGTAACGAAAGTGCTCATACAGTTGATGATTGTCTATACCCTAATGGCGACGCTTCAGTCTTCCCACTGAATGGTGAAGTTACAGGAATAGCTCATGGCTAAAGTTCAGGCCATGACTCTAACTGCAAGAACTCTGGGCTTGGAGTCCAGAGACCTTAATTTAGGTTCAGTGTTGGCTCTGCCTCTCTAAGTTTCTGTTTCTTCCTCAGTGAACTTGGGCTTTATTCATGAAAGGATAAACAGGTGAGTTGGGGGTATGGGGGGGAGTTGGGGTCACACCTGACTGGCAATGTTCAAGGACTATTCTTGGCTCTGTGCTCAGGAGTGCCACCCCTGGGGTTACTAGGGATTCAAACCAGGGTTGGCCACATGCAAAGCAAGTGCCCTAATCCCTATACTATGCAGAATAAATATTTGCTGAATATGCACTGTAGCACTGTCTGTAGCACTGTCCTCCCCTTGTTCATTGATTTCCTCAAGCGGGCACCAAGTCTCTATTCTGAGACTTGTTGTTACTATTTTTGGCATATCGAATACGCCACGGGGAGCTTGCCAGGCTCTACCGTGCAAGCGGGATACTCTCGGTAGCTTGCCGGGATCTCCAAGAGGGACAGAGGAATCAAACCCACATGCAAGGCAAACGCCCTACCCGCTGTGCTATCACTCCAGCAATCATATTCAACGCTGAATATGATAGTGTGTAAATTCTGGGTCTGAGTTCTATGGGGCTGAGCTTCTGCTCTTAGAATAGTGATGGGAGACTCAATTCCTAAGTGAATGAAAATATAACTAGAAAAGGAAGCTGCACGTTCAGAAGTTTCAGTAAGTATTAAGTAATGTACTGGTTAAGAACTCAAGGGCTGGAGAGATAGCACAGAGGCTGAGGCATGTACCTTGTATACAGTCAACCTGGGTTCAATCCCTAGAACAGCATATAGTCCCCCAAGCACTTCTAGGAATAAGAGAGCCAGGATTAAGCCCTGCGTACCACTGGGCATGCCCTCCAGTACAAATAAACACATGTTTCTCTGTGTGAAAAAGAACCCAGGCACAGAAGCCAGATTGCAGGAGCTCAACTTCATGTTCCACCAGAATCTGAAAGTAAGTGTGTTTAACCTCTCTTGGATTCAGTTTCACTCCATCTGTGAATAGGAATAAGAACAGCAAGTACCTGGGCAGTTGTAAAAGATTAAGTGAGTTACCATGTGCCACACACTTAAAACACACAGTACTTGACACATCATAAGTACTAGATATATACTAGTTAGCACTATTATTATTTGAAACAGAACACAATAGGCCAGATCTTCCTGACACAAATGTGACCATGCTGTTAATCTGGGTACCATTTTCTTTTTCCCTTGTGGCATGCTCATGTCACCTGGCTAACTTGTTGATGGTTGTTCTTGCTGGTCCATGAACATCTTCCCATGACTTTATGTGCCTCTGCCAAGAATGTATTGAAAGACAGAGAGAAAGGAGTTGGGAGGCAACTTGTGGAAACTTCCTACAAGCTTTCCAGGTGTGTGGGGCTGGGGACCTCACACTTACCAGGTACGTGCACCACCTCCGAGCCCTCTCCCTGGCTCCCAGGTGTATTTTTCTAAAAGATTTATGCAATCTCGACTGATGAATGGAATAAGCCCTTAAGTGGGGCATAGATGTTTTGATAATGTTTTTAAGACTGTGTCCCAAATACTCTTGCCAATTTATATCCTTTGCTTGCAAATGGCTTTTCTTTTATTCTTTTTTCCTGCCCCTTCCCTTCCCTTTTGGCAGCTGCTGTAGCCATTGTTTTGGCCATAGTTCATTTGGTTTTGGTTTTTGCACACTTGACTGAGGGACTCTGTTGTTGAGCTCATTCTGTTGTGCGGTTGTGACACATTCTGAGTATAGTGTCTGCTGGGGGCTGTATCCTTCAGTTGTCTGGCACACATCTTGCACATGTTGTGCGACACACACATCTGGGATTGCATTGTTTTGGTGCTGGAGGGTTCCCAAACTGCAGAGGTTGACTCCTGTGGTTTGGAGGAAGGATCAAACTCACAACCTTATGTTTTGTAAGGCAGGTGCTTTTAGCTACTGAGCCACTCACAGGTACACTCAAATTGTGTTTCTAACATAAAGATTGTTTATTTTCTAGAAATTATTCTGCACAGCTTGCAGGACTGGAATGACTCAAAGAAAGCATTTTGAAAAAGGTAATTCAAAAATCCGTGGGCAGGAGCTCAACTTCATGTTCCACCAGAATCTGAAAGTTAGTGTGTTTGGTTGTTCTGGGTCTGAGTTCTATGGGGCTGAGCTTCTGCCCTTAGAATAGTGATGGGAGACTCCCGTGGGAGGGAAGAGATCATAAGGTAGGAGATAACAGAGGCTGAACTTGAGTATTGTACACTTGGATTGTATGGAATGACGTAAACCAGTGTTACTTCACAAACAAACAAAAACACTCCTATGGAGTAGTTGATGAATAAGACCAGTGGAGGGAACTGCAGATGCTTCCCTTATAGTGCTCATCTTCTCTCCGTGCCTCTGCTCGACTGACCACAGTCACTGTGTTCTTCCCCAGCCATTTCACACCCCATGCTTCGGATTTGCTCTTGTCCCATCTTGCCTGCTATGGCTTGTGGTGTCGCTCCTTGCTGCACTTAGGGGAGGTGTTGGGGGGTGTGAAGGGACACTCTGTGCTGGAGATCATCAATCCAGGAACTCATGCATGCAAAGCAACCCAGGATCTCACACATGAAAAGAAAGTGCTCTTCCTCCTCCTCCACCTCCTCCTCCTCCTCCTCCTCCTCCACTTTCTCCTCCCCCACCATATAGGCACCTAAACTGGTCATTTATGTAGGCTTATTGCTTGTTCTCACCAGCCATGGAAAACTCTCCCTGAAAATTGCTGGGGCCGTACCATCTTGAAAAGCTTCCTGAAAGGCTCTGGCGTTAAAAAGGGGTTAGGCTTGGGGACCAGCCCTGTAACTCCATGTACTAGTCCCGCCCTCTCCCAAACTGTTGAATTATTATTTTGGAAACTCAATTATTTCCCATCAATCTTATTTTCAATTCCCGTGTTGAGTCTGGGGAAGAAGAGCTGAAGACCACTCGGTAGTGGTTCCAACCCATTCAGTGGCCTGAGCAGGAGAGCTGCAGGCCACTCTTATGTGGCAGGCCTTCCGGAGGGCACTGCTCAATGGGCACAGAGGGCACCTGCACCCCTTCTGACCAGTCTGTCACCTCAGGCTGAGCAGCAGCAAACTTGGAGCTGGGGTAGTCCATTCCCTCGGAAATTTGTCCTTAGTCACAGCCTTCTGACAGCAGGCGGCTGTCCCTTTCCAATCTCCTCAGGATCTCTGTAGCAGCAGAGATTAGGCATGACCTCCCCTGGGTGTTCACGGAAATGGTGCTTCGCATGCGCAGAACCTCCTGGGCCAACATCCAGCCAGCATCATGGAGTGAGCTCCCTTTTTGGGATCTTAATTTAGGATTTACCAAGTTTGTCTAAAAAGAAAGGTCAAATCATACCTAAGAGACCCAAGTAAGGTAGCGAAACCACACATAAGAAATCAGGCCATATTTCCCAAATGTGTACATCCTTTCTAAACTTACACATTCAAAATTTTATTTATAGCAAGAATTACTATCAATTCTATCTATCAAAGCCAGAGACCCTTGTGTTGTTACTGAAAAACTTGCCCCTAGTGCAGGACGCTACCTACTCTTGTAATGCTGAATTATTGATCTGCCTTATGGGTCTGAAAGTCATGTGGATGGGGTTCACCTACCTACCTCACACCCTTTGTCTTTGGTTTCGTCTTTTTCTTTCTCTCTCTGAGCTCCTTGAAGCTATTTTTGGAGGGGTGGGGTAATTTTAGAAACTTCCAGATTGTACTAGAGTTTTATATGCACAAACAGCGAGGTGGAGAGAATGCGGCCCACTTACTTTTTTGCCCAACAGCAAGCATTTCACAAGGAGAAACTTCTAGCAGCTCAGGGTCTCCTGGGGCGAGCATGCAGCTGGGGTGGGGGTGGTGCAGAAGTTACAGCTCGCGGGGAAACTTCTGTAGATCGCCTCAGCCTTAGCGCCGCCTTAACGGTTCCAGAGTTTGGGGCAGATTCTGGTTCTCAAGTGCTTGGGGGCAGGTTTACAACCCTCGGGGAGGCTGGAAGTGGCCAGGTCTGAGCCTTATCCGGGCGGCGATCCGGGTGAGGCGCCGGGGTGGGGGAGGGGTCTTGATTTAGGGAAGCCCTTACTGGAACCCGAAGAGTTCTCGCGCCTCGCTCGCGTCTGGCCCTGGTACACCTAAAGCGTTTATTCTAATTTCCAGCGGGGGCGCGGGCTTGCAAGGCTAGCCTCTTCCACTGTCCTGCGCGCCTGCCAGCGAACCTGGAGCAGCGCCGCTCGGCCCTGAGCTCGGACAGCCTGGCTGCCGCGTCCTTGTGTGCGCGCGTGTGTATGTGTGTGCGCGCGTGGAAGACAAGGAACCCAAGTTCTGATGTGTGTGTGTGTGTGTGTGTGTGTGTGTGTGTGATGTGTGTTTGTGTGTGCGTGCGCGCGCGCGTGCGGCCCGACTTGGCGCGGGAGACCGAGAGGACGCCGGGGCAGGCGCAGATCCCGGAGGGGGCGCCCCTCCCTCCCTCCCTCCAGGTCCCGAGATGGGTTGGGGGCAGGGGAGTGACGTGCCCCGATCGATTCCCTATAGCCCCCTCCGAGCCGAGAGGGGGCGGCAGTAAGAACGCGCAGGGTGGCAGGGCGTGGATGCAGGGCGCGCCCGCTCTGCAGCGCGCGTTCCAGAGCGCACCCCCCGCCCAGCCCCGGACCCCGGGACCCGCCGGGGGCGCGTCCGCAGGCGAGGAGGACGCCACTCGGGGTTCGCTACCGCCGCGGGTCGCTCCGAACTTGCTGGGGAAACTAGTGCGGAGGGCGGGGCCGGGCCGGGGCCGCCGCTGGAGGAGGAGGAGGAGAAGGAGGAGGAGGAGGAGGGGCGGCCGCAGCTGCATCCAGCCCCGTTGGCTTCCTTCCCAGCGCTCCTTCGCCGCCTCCTCCTCTTCCTCCTGTATGAGTCAGGCATTTCCCGGGGATTTGGAACAGCCACGCGCGGCCCGAGTTCCCGGAGCTGTAGCCGCCGTCGCTGTTCCACGAGCGCCAGCGCCGGGGCCGCCACCGCGGCCGGGAGCACCCGCGTCCCGGGCGCGCACGCACCATGGAGAGGGCGGCCCAGGGCGCAGATGGCGGGGGCAGCAACAGCAGCAGCCGCAGCAGTAGCCGCGCCACCTCGGCGGGCTCCTCGCCCTCCTGCTCCCTGGCCAGCCGCGGGGTGTCCAGCCGATCGGCGGTGGCCGGGCTTGGCGGCGGGGGCAGCCGCAGCAGCCCGGGCTCGGTGGCCGCTAGCCCGTCCGGGGGCGGCGGCCGCAGGCGGGAGCCGGCGCTCGAGGGCGTGCTCAGCAAATACACCAACCTCCTGCAGGGCTGGCAGAACAGGTAACGCGCCCCCGCGCGCCGCCCCGGGCTGGGTGGTGAGTGTGCGTTCCCTCCCAGCGGCGTGCGGGAAGTGGGCCCCGCACTGGCCCCTTCCCGCGTCCCGGGCCCGACTCCCAGGCGGAGTGCTCGGGAGGGACTAGGTGCGTTATCATGATCCCCCCTCCGGAGCTGCGCCGCAGTGGCGGGGAGGGAGGCGACAGCACCTGCGGGCACTAGGCTGGGCTTCCCGGCTCTGCCCTGCGTGCGGGCGCCCGCACCCTGGGAAGGGGGGGTGGGGTGGGGGCTGGAAAAGGGACGCAGAGGGAGAGCAAGCTTTATGCCCCGCGGCAGTAAGCCTGACCCAACGTCTGGTCCGAGCCTGGCACGTGGCCTCATAACAGAGTTCCTATACAACTTCAGTGTTTGCAAACACCAGGAGCAAAAACAACAGAAAAATTCCGTGCCACTGATCCCCGGCGCCTTCTGGCGCGCGCGCGCTGCCCCCACCCCAGCTGGCGGCTTGGAGCCTTCAGTCTGGCCACCAAGTGTAGTAGATTTGTATAGTATCCGCTCGGGCATTCGAAACGGACACTTCACTATCATTCTCATCACCACCACCACCACCACCACCATCATCATCTCCCTCTCCGTTCCTTTGAAGTCGTGCCTGCTCGCTGTGCCCTCGCGGTGGAGAAGTCTAGTTAAGGACACGTGTCACTATGAGGTTGCCAAGGGAAGGGGCCTCCCGGCACCCCGTGGGTGCTGGTTACCCGGCGGCGGGTCTCCTTGGCGAGGCAGGTTTGAAAGGAGCAGATGTGGCACTCTGCTGTTTACATTTTTAATTTGTATTTGAAAACCCAGCCAGAGGGAAATACAAACGACTCCACCGGGAGATTGGGGCTTTTTGGAGAGGCCACTGATGAGGTCTTTTGTCCTGCCTTTGCTAGGGCTCTTTACCTTTGAGGACATGGAGTTCCTAAGGCTGCTTGGGAGATTTGAATTTCCTTCGGGAGCTCTTAACTTGGCTGGGTGGGCTTGATTTCTTGGTCTTCACTCCAGGGAGTTTCTTTGCAGAGGTTCAGTGTTAGTTCGGACACTTGGGAGGTAATTTACAGGGAAGGCATGGGGAGGAAGATGAGTACCTATGGAAACTTCTGTTGTTTCTCTACTGGTATGGGAGACACTTCCCAGTCACCTGGGTTGCCTTGGAGATCCGTCTGCTGCTACTCTGTTAGTGGAAGTTGCTCTTTAACTTCTAAATCCTTTTGTTTCTGAAAATAGCCCTAGTGTTTGCTCTTGCCTCTCTTTTCCCCCCTTCGAAGCTGAAAAAGAATAGATAGAATGCGTGGGATAAGAGGGAGAGATATGACTAAATCCGATTTCAGTTCGTGGCTATTTGTGTCATTTTTCAAGGCACCTCAGGTTACCTTGACAGAGACAATGTTTTGTGTTCTGGGCAGTCACTTTTCTGTCACACTGTCCCTTTCTCCCCCCTCCTCTCCAAGTAGCTTATGGGACCAACCAGGCTTTTACGCTGGATTAAAGTTATTTAAGTTGGGGATGGTATTTTACCTGGAAAGTATATTAAAGGATTTGTTCTATGGGGTGGATTTAGGAGTAGTTCATGCTTTTTGTATAATTTAAAATCCACTGGGGGATTTAGGTTGAGGTTAGACTGTGAAGAAGAAATATTAATAACAACAACAGCAATATCAGTGAGACCACTTAGATGATGGCAGGTTCAGAGGTGACATGTGGGTCTGGTGTACTGCTCAAGCTCATCTTTATTGCATTTGTTTACAACTGCACGCGTTGCTTGTTTTTATTGCAGAAAATTCACTTTCCTAAGTTGGCCTGGCCCCATAATGCATGTATTTAATTTATTATTTTTGTGGGGCGAGGGCCCACTCTGTTTTGCTCAGGACTTACTCCTAGCTCTGTGCTCAGGGATCAATCCTGGTAAGGAGGTACGATCATACGTGGTTTCAGGGATTGAACCTGGGTTGGCCGCGTGCAAGATAAGTGCCTTATTTGTGCTGTGCTATACCTCTGGCCTTAGTAAAGCATATATTTTTAAATGTTCAATATCCTATTTAGACTTTCTTAGTAGCATTGTAATCTACCACCCCAGCCCCTGAGAAAGTCAGTTTGGGCCAGAACAGAATCTGAACAACATAAAGAGTTGATCCCAGGAAAAGTAGCTGAACCTTTGGGACACACTCAACTTCAGAATATGGGCCACTTGGCTTAAGCTCGTTGGCTGCGAGAGGGTGACATCATCAGAGCCCAGGGAAAACGTGCACGGAGGGGCTTTTATCATCCTATTATAGTCACTCAAGACACTGTCTCAGCCTTAACAGCCTGGTAGAGACTGTAAAATGGGGTTCAAGAGCAAATGCCTCCTTGCAGATGATCATCAGTATTCAGAAAGTGACAGTTGCTTGCAGAGTTCACATTTTTGTGTTCAGTGATGAACTAAGGGCAAATGTTTGTGGGAATCATTTTGAGTGAATCCATTTGTGCTGTTCCTCCAGAGCAATAGCTCTTCCCCCTCTGTTTGGTTTTCACAGGAAGTGAGCTTTTGGGAGAGGGGCGCTGGGAACTTGCGGCAAGCAAGCCAGCACCAAGTCAACGTGAACCAGAGGAGGAATAGAAAACTGTGCTCAGGTTGCCTGGAAGGATTTTAGGTGGAGAGGCAACGCAGCCTGACTTGTGCTTTAAATCGTTTGCTCTGGAGACTGGAGCAATAGCACAGCGGGTAGGGCATTTGCCTTGCTCACGGCCGACCTGGGTTCGATCCCTAGCATCCCATATGGTCCCCTGAGCATCGCCGGGTGTGACCCCGAAAGAAAAAAAGTAGTTTGCTCTAGCAGTGGGCAGGTGAATCTTTCTAGGGCCTCAGACTGGCAAGCAGAGACCAGTTTAGGAGCCCAGCTGGTGTGTGTGGGGGGCGACCAGCAAGAGATGCTGGGGCTTGGGTTTGGGGCACAGGTGATAAAGAGACTTGCCATAAGGAAGAGAGAAACTGCTAATAGATTGAAGTGGAGGAGAGAGGTTAGGGAGGATTGTGTGTGTAGGCAGAGAGGCCGAGGTGCCCTTTAGGGAGACCAGGGTCACAGAAGCAGGAATATTTGTAGGTAAAACAGAAGGCAGCCCTGGGCTAGGATCAGTTTTTTTTTTCCTTTTGGGGTCACACCCAGTGATGCACAGGGGTTACTCCTGGCTCTGCACCCAGGAATTACTCCTGGCCATGCTCAGGGAACCATATGGAATGCTGGGAATTGAACCCGGTTGTGCAAGGCAAACGTCCTATCCTCTGTGCCTCGGGCTAACATCAGTATGAATGGTCTCCCCTTGGTAAGAACTTGGTTATACCAGTTTGCTGATGTCCTGAGACCAATGTTACTCTCAATCCCAGAAGAAACTGTTTAGGGGGTGCTCATATATTTGAAGTAATCCTTTCTAATTGGAACTGGGAAATGACATTTCAACAGTTGAAGGTTTTTTTTTTTTATTTTTACTTTTTGTGATTTGAAGAAAAGGCGAAATGTACACAAGGAACCAGCTTTTGGTAATGGGTAGAATTGTCAAAATGGGAAAATTGCTGCAAAGGCAGATCTTGAATTCTTAAGAAAGGCACATTTTGGCCAAAGAAAATCGTTGCCTCCCAGTGACCATTTTATTTGGATGGTCAGCAGGATGTGGACAGAGCCCTTCATCACCATTTGGTACCCAGCTTATGGCACTAGTTCCTCAATTGCACTGGGCTGCCATGGTCTCATGATGCAGTGCGTCAGGTGTTTGTTTTGTATGCAGCTGATCCTGAATTGATCCCCAGCAATGCTTATGGTCCTAGAGCACCAGAAGTGATTCCTGAGCACAAACCCAGTAAGCCTTGCGTACCTCTGGATTTTCTCCAAAATCAACAAACAAATGAAAGATTTTGCAAAGTGGTAAATTTATCCGAATCTCCACATCATCTCTTCTTAAGTGGATATTTTGTGGTGCATAAATATCTTGGTTTAGTTGCTTGTTCCATCTTCTTTATCCTTGTCCGCCTCCTCTTTGTCATCCTCTTCTTCATTCTCTTCTTCTTTGTCCTCTTCTTCATCCTCTTCTTCCTATTCCTTCTCTTCCTTTCCTTCCCCCTTCCCTGTTCCTTCTCCTTCCTCTTTTCTCCTTCTCATCCTCCTTCCTACTTTTTCCTTCTCATCCTCCTTCCTCCTTCTTCTCACTTCTTCTCCTTTCTCCTCCTCCTTCCTTCCCCCCTCCCCTCTTGTACCCTTTCCTTCCCCTAGTTTTTATTGTTTTTTTTTTTTTGTTTTGGGGTCATACCCAGTAATGCTCTGCTTTACTGGGTATGACCAGTAAAGTGCTTCAGGAATCACTCCTGCTGGTGCTTGGGGAACTATATAGGATGTCAGGGATCAAATCAGGGCCAGTTAAGTGCAAAGAAAGTACCATACTCAAGCACTGTCTCTCCAACTTAGTTTCTGAGTGCTTTGGTTGCCCTGGGGCCATATTTAGCTTTACAACCGTGGGATTCTTTGGAGAGATATGATGGCTCCTTGTTGGAGGGTTGTAAGAACTTGAAGCAAATGTTCCCATCTCTGGGAAGTGACTTACCCTCTTGCCCAGCCTCCCTTCTCTGCTGGATTTTGCTCTTGGCACTTACCCATGTTCTGTCATGATATATAAGTTACTACTGGGGGTTTCCCTGCACTGTCATAGGTTCCTTGAGAACACACAATTAGTTTTAGGTTTTATCTACTACCCTGATCCCCTGTTTAGAACAGAGTCTGGCATCCAATAAGGGCTTGGTAATAATGTTGAATGAATAGGAAAATATAAGAGCAACAGAGTATAAATCCACCAGAATTTAGTTCTGCTGGGCCAGAGCAATAGCACAGCGGGTAGTGCCTTTGAATTGCACGCAGCCGACCCGGGTTCGATCCCCGGCATCCCATATGGTCCCCCAAGCACTGCCAGGAGTAATTCCTGAGTGCAGTGCCAGGAGTGAC